AGACTTCGTGTCTCATACTTTAGACATATTACCAGGAGGAACCAGTCCCTGGAGAAGGACATCATGCTTGGCAAAGCAGAGGGTCAGAGAAAAAGAAGAGTCCCAAGGAAATGGATTGGCACAGTGGCAGCAACAATGGACTCAAGCGTAGCATTGATTGTGAGGTTGGCACTGGACCAGGCAGTGTTTCATTCTGTCGCGCATAAGGTTGGCATGAGTTGAAACAGACTTGATGGCACCTAACAACAACAGACCACTATGCTTTTGTTCTTAGTCTGTCTTAATCTGGGAGCACTGCTAAAAACTTTCCTCCATAGATCATCTTGTCAGTATTTAATACAGTGGTGGCATGACTTTCACAAGTATAGCAGATGCAAGCCGGCCCAGTACAACAAGCCGACAGTTGTGTGGCAGTTCCCCTTCTTAGCCTAGGCAATAGAAATTGGTTTATGACCTATTGACCAAAATATGTGCTCCATTCAGGTCTCCTATGCACCCCATGTACACTCCTATTACAGTGTTCATATTGTAATGTCAGTTCTTATTTGTCTGCCTCCCTCAACAGACTTGAAACCCCATGAGGGCAGGGACTGTATCTATCCTGGTGTGGCGCTGTGGGTTAATGCGCTGGACTGCAAAGTTGGTTTAAACTGCAAGGTCGGTGGTTCAAGCTCAACAGTTACTCCTAGAAAACCCTATATCCAGGGTTGCTTTGGGTCAGAACCGACCTGATGGTGCTTAACAACAACAGTATTTGACAGTGTAGTGCATAGCAAATTGCTCAATGAATACTTGAATCATGCCTATTGGATTTATAAAACACTCATTAAGCACCTGTTGTATGCCAGCCCTGTATTCTATTTTTGCTGTCTCTCAAAGTCAATATGTTTATTCATCAGTGTCAAAAATCAAACCGAGCCTATTGCCATAGAGACAATGCCAATTCCTAGTGGCTCTACAGGACAGAATCCCATAGGGACCCTATACCCCATAGGGTTTCCGAGGCTGTCAATCTCTATGGGAGCAAACTGCCTCATTGTTCTCCCTGTGGAATAGCTGCTGAGTTCAAACTGTAGCCAAGAGCTTTAAGCACAGCACCGTCCGAATTCCTTCCTGAATATATAAAGGTGAGTGAAAAGCAGTACATCTATTTTGTCGGTTTCTTGGTAAACCCAGCGGCCCTCTCTACATCTAAACTGGTACAAAACCCTTTTAAGAGCTCCCTTGGAAGAGAATAACTATACCAACTATACCAGGGACAGTCCCCTCCAATTTTCTGGAACTTTCCTTTGTTAAAATAACAACAACAAAAGCCTCTATAAAGCCCATAGCACATTCTTTGGAAATTGCCAAGTGGGGGAGGGACTTTGTTTCTTGAAGGATTATTTGATTTTTGGAAATGGCTGAAAGTTAGTTGGCAGCAATGCTAGTGAATGAGGTGGGTGACCAAGCAGAGGAATATTATTTTTGGGCCCAAGCAAGGTGTGACTAGAAAGAAAAGGAGGCTCAACAGCAATTCCAAATGAGGAATGTCCAAAAATGTTGTGGCAGGGAATGAAGTTTCTCCACCCCAGTACACACACTCAGAGGATACTCTCTGGCACCAGATAGAGACAAGCAAAACCAAAAGCTGTTGGAATTAAATGTGAAAGAAATCAATTGCCTAAGTATAGGAGGGAAGTGACCTGGCTTGGCAGCCATGCCTGTGGAAACATCTGGCCTTTTCAGTTGGCTCCATGCTTCTCATGTGTGAAGGGTGTGACGGGGCTGCTAAGCAAGTATCTGCAGACTGCGGCTGCTCTGAGAGGTTCAGGCTCCACTTGGACCGCAGGCACTGCTGCAGGCATGGCTGTGTGAAATGGCCAACTGGAACATGGAGCATTTGAAGGAACTGGATGTGTTTTGAAAAAAAAAAAACCCAACAACAAACCAAGCAAAAAATAATTCAGTAAAAGCAAGAGTCAGCAAGGAAAGCTTACTATGGAATGATGGCTGTGCAAAAAAGTGGTGTGGTTTAGTAGTAATCTCATGTTATCTTATTATGAAAGAGTCAAGACTAATGGGCAGAAATGATAAGAAGACAGATTTAAGCTCAATCTAACAATGGTTGGCTCTTAATACAAAACTGTATGTTTGATCTAATCTCATGAATGTGAACATACTTATACAGAGAATAAGACCAGAAGGACAAAAATCAACTATTTAACATATCTATAGGCTGTTGTTGTTGTTAAGTGCTGTTGAGTCAGTTGCAACTCACAGCAACCCTGTGTAAGCTTTCTGAGGAGCGGCTGGTGAGTTTGAACCTCTGACCTGGCAGTTCAGATCGACCTTGCATTTCAGACCAACCTTGCGGTCGAGTGCCTATCCTACACTACTAACAACAGATTGTTGTTGTTGTTGTTAAGAGCTGTTGAGTTGGTTCCAACTCATAGTGACCCTGTTTCCAAGGAGAGGCTGGTGGGTTTGAACCACCTACTTTGCACTTCAAACTGACCTTGCAGTCCAGCACATTATCCTACAGCACCACAGTCAAGAAATCAAATGAGGTATTGCATGAGGCAAATCTGCTGCACAAGATCTCTTTAAAGTGTTCAGGAGCAAAGATGTCAGGTTGAAGACTCAAGCTTGACTCAAGCCATGGGATTTTCAATGATTAAAGTGACAATGGCTGCAGAACTTGAGCAATGTGAGCAATGGCCCTGAATGGTCCATGTGGAAATGGTTGGACTGGCATATGCTTTGTTGCATATATTCTCAATAACAACAAAATCAATTACATTTCAAAAAGAAACAAGGGCTAACAACATGGTGAACATAATGTCACTGAAGTGTACGTGAAGAATGGTGCAATGGAAATGTTCTGTCACATACATATTTTCTACAACAGAAAAAAATTTTTTGAAACAAACAAAAAAAAACTCCACCAAGGCTAATGTCTTGTTTCCCTTTCAAGTTTCCCCAACTGCTATGAATCACTGAAAGCATATTAACAAGTACTATTGACTGAAGTCTTAACATCAACGAAACCCATAGAAGGAAACGCTAAACCAAGCATTTCCCATTGGTTGTTGGTGAGGATTTCTACAGAGGGCAGAAACGGATCCTGCTAGCCTGTGCCCTGCAGCAGCCCCTGACAGAAGTGTGTTGATGACAGCATGAGAAATGGATGACAATTTGTGAGAAATTATCAGAGATCCTGACAGGGACCACCTCCCAGAATCATAGGGGGCTTTCCTACTCCATCCCTGACCTTTGCTGACATCTGGATCTTGCCTCTTCTCATACTCACTCAGCTTCTCTCATGCTAGCTCCTTTTCTACCCTTGCTCTTAAGTGGGAGTGGGGTTCCCACTCTTTAAAAAGAATCAGCAATGTTTCTATTGAACTGACCTGCTAAGGCAAGTTGGTTATTCTTGGTGTTCCTTCTCTGTACAATGTTCAAGAATCTATATAGGCACCATGATTGTGGTGTGCTAGGTATAGAAAGCAGATCTAAGTATTAATACTTGGCCTACCACAATACAGTGGCACTGGTGGCTCAGGGGAGAATGTGTTGGGCTGCTAACCACAAAGTCAACAGTTTGAATCCACCAGCTGTTCCAATGTAAGGAAAAAAGTTGGGGTTTTCTGCTCCTGTGAAGATGTACAGCCTTGGAAACCCTATACATGGTCGCTGTCAGCTGGAACCGACTTGAAGGCACACCACCACCACCACTGGCATAAAGTTGGTGTTGAAATGATTATGAGTGCCAAGCCTACAACATCCTGTGAGCCAGGATTGAATCACTTGTGTTGTTGACTGTCTCCAGCATCTGATGCAATACGTGGCATGTGACAGGTATACAACAGCTAGTTGTTGAATGACTGAATGTTGAAGCAGCTCACCTGAGGCCAAGAGTGAGCGCTGCATCCTATAAACCCTGACTCTCTGATGACAACCTTTGCAACCTGACCCAGAGAGTGATGACAGAGAGCAACTCTGAGAAAGTTTTGGGGAATTCTTGCTAGCCCTGTTTGGATTGGGGAATAAAGTAGAGTGCAGACATGGGCCCACTCGGGAAGAATATGAATTCTCGGTCATTCTAGGACTCACACAAGATTTGGAGGGAGGCAAAGCATCTTTTTTTAGCAAAATAAAATTGTAAGAGGAGACCTGAGAACTCTTCAGAGATACCTTTGGTTTCATAAGCAAGACATACTAATTCAACCCAGACTTTCTAAATGTAGAGTGTGGATTAGGTTTGTGTTGAGAGGGATGGGACTGAGTTGGGGCCTGATGGGATTCTGGTATACTAATTTAACAACCTGCAATATGCAGACGATACAACTTTGCTTGTTGAAAGTGAAGAGGACTTAAAATACTTACTGATGAAGCTCAAAGACCACAACCTTCAGTATGGAGTAGACCTCAGTGTAAAGAAAACAAAAATTCTCACCACTGGAGCAATAAGTAACATGAAAATAAATGGAGAAAACACTGAAGTTGTCAATGAGAATTCATTTTGCTTGGATCAACCAAGCAATCAAGATAATGTACTGCATTAGGCAAATCTGCTGCACAAGAACTCTTTAAAGTGTGCAAGAGCAAAGATGTCAGTTTGAGGACTAAGGTGTCTGACCCAAGCCATGGTATTTTTAATAGCCTCACATGCATGCTCCTTGGAAGCCTGGAGGGCAAAATTTTGTCTTTCATACTTTGGATGTATTATCACAAGGGACCAGTCACTGGAGAAGTAAAGTGGAGCGTCAGAGAAAGAGAGGAAGACACCCTATGAGATGGATTGGCACAGTGGTAGCAGCAATGGGCTTAGGTATAGCAACAATTGTGAGGTTGGCCCAGGACCACACAGTGTTTCATTCTGTTGTGCATAGTGTTGCTATGAGTCAAGAGTTGACTTGAAGGTACTTAACAACAACAACAAATTTAAAGGTGGGCAAGAAGGACAAAAAGCATTGAATGGCCATATACAGGGACTTCCAAAAAAAGACCCAACACAATTTTTATTTGAGCATTTATTTATTTATTTTTTTCCAAAGAAATCCATGCAAAGAGAAAGGGAAAGAGAGAGACATGGTAAGCATGTTCTACCAGCCAAACATAGGAAAATAATTTGGCACAACTTGATGTTTTTTTTCTTTGCAAAAAGACAATCTATACTACCACTAAAATTTACCTTCCTCATAAAGATACCATTGGATTTTTGAAAACATAACTGATGGTTAGTTCTCTACTGAATGGCTGAAGGAGGTATATAAGATAAAAAAATAAGAAGGTGGTTCCCTTTATAGAGGAAGACCACAGGGTGCTGACAGGCAGCAAAAGGGTCGCGCACTAGGCAGTCAGTGCACCAAGAAGAAAAAACACACCACGTAGACCACCAGGCTGGTTAGAACCTTCAGCGGGGAATGCCCATTCCCGACGTTGTGAGAGGCGGCAATTTCGTTGTCCTTATGATTTCCCTGTTGCTTGCTTCCAGGCGTGTCCTCTACATCCAGATCATAAGCCAGCTCTGCCAAAAGAAAAGAGGACTTTAGATCCATATAGGTTCACCAAGAGCATCAGGCACTCCCTCTTTATGACTCAAGGACTTATCTGAACTGCTGGGATGCTCCCTGTTGATTTTTTCTTTCTTTCTTTCTTTGAAAGGAAAGCCACCAGAAGGTGGGAAGGAGCTGGGAGAAATTGGGGAGATGGTGGCTAGAGGTGCTTCCTCCTCACAGCAGAGGAAGAGAGTAGGTACTGGTCAACTGCTCCTCTTTTACTTCTCATTCCACCCATAGCCCAGGGTCAAAGTTGGCCCTTTTCAATAAAGTCCCCCTCAGTGGAATCAAAATTCAAGGTGCTGTAGTTCAATACATGTGTGTCCTTACGGGTGTGTGCATGTATGAGTGCGTGTGGGGGAGCCAGGGTTGGGGGCACTCAATGTACTTTTTACGGACCCTTTATCCTATACTTTTTTTTTTTGGTCTAGAACTTTTGCTTATATGAGGGCTGCGGATAGAAGCGTTGTTGTTGAAAATTTGTCTATTTTCCCAAATCTTTATTTATATGGTGTTGTCATGATACCCCTACAGAAAAATCAAACAACAACAATTAAAGTGATTTACATCTTAGCATTTAAATGGATACCAAGCAAATGAAGACGAAGGAAAGACTCATGGGTAAAGGCTATCATCTTCCAACTCTGCCTGCCTGCCTTTTATATGCTAGGACCCATGATTCTGAAAAGAAACGAGGATGTTGGTGTTGGCCTAAAACAGAAGTCTCGCAGAAGGTCTATCTAAGTAGATAAGAATAGACCAGGAAATTCAAAATGCCTGGCCCAGGGCTCAGTTTCATTGAGGCTTGAGTTTCCAGGTGCAGAGCTCAAGTCTGCACCATTGACTTTCCTAGACTCAGCCTCCAATATTTCTATTTTGCTAGCTTGTGAAGATGATGGGATGGGAGTCACCTCACCAGCTACCCTGCAGCCGAGGGAATCAGCCACTAAGATGGACATGAAGAGGCCCAGAGGAAATGACCGGAGGGAAGGAAGGAAGAGCTCCTCTTACAGGGCAGGAAGCACTCAGGAAGTCACCGGAAGAAAGTGAGGGACTCAGCGGATCCAGGGTGTGTACAGGGCAGAGCCCTGGATCAGGGCTATTCTGAGGCTGGCACTGGTTAGGGCAGGCAGCTAGGTGACTGTGATCAAAGCCAGGGCTCTTATTACACAGATGACAATATTGCTTTCCAAAAGTGTTATCACAGTTTCTACCACCACGGGCAGCAGGGAGGCAAGTAAGTTCACTGACTCTCGATCCAAAAAAGAGTTCTTAGTCCGTGTTCCGTTGTTGCTGGGTGTCACTGAATGGACTGCAACTCACCGTGACCCCATGTGACAGAGAAGAATTGCCCCATAGAGTTTTCTTGGCTGTAATCTTTACGGAAACAGATTGCTAAACTTTCAATTAGCAGTCATGTGCTTAGCCATCATGATACCAGGGCTCATGTTTCAGTCAGTAATTTAGTCAGTAGTTTCTTAATTTACATGTATTACTACTGCAGAGCAGTTTTTCCCTGATCTAGTTTACTAATGATATTTTTCAGTGTATAACATCATATATCTGCCTTTTAATCTAATAGGTATTGATTTTTCCCTTTTAATTTGAATTTAATTTGAATACTATAATCAGCACTGGACTGCTCACCAGTGCTACTTCTTGGAAACCCTATACAGGGTTGCTGAGTCAGAACTGATCAGACAGCACTTAACAGCATCATATTGTTGTTGTTGTTAAGTGCCGTCAAGTCGATTCCAACCCATAGTGACCCTGTACAGGGTTTCAAAGGAGCAGCTGGTGAGTTTGAATCACTGACCTTGCAGTTCAAACGACCTGCATTCTGACCCATTAGCCCACAGCACCACACCAGGAGTCTATCATATTGGATACAGTTAATTCATAAATTATGCTGTTACTATAATTCCAATTATTTCATAGGGAAATGAACTTTCTTTTTGTTTATTACATCATAATGGAGTTCTGGTGTGGCACTGTAGGATAAGCACTGGACCACAAGGTCAGTTTGAACTGCAAGGTCAGTGGTTCAAACCCACCAGCTGCTCCTAGGAAACCATATACAGGGTTGCTATGAGTCAGAGCTGACTCAATGGCACTTAACAACAACAATGGTTTTAACCACCATTTGTCTGTCCATTTGTGGTTCTGTGGTAGCTTGCATGTTTCTGTGATGCTGGAAGCTAGCCTACCAGTATATAAAATATCAGTGGGGTCACTCATGGGAAACCGGTTTCAGTAGTGCTTCCACATTAAGACATACTAGGAAAAAGGCTCTGAAAATGTTATGGACAGCAGCGGAACATTCTTTCATGTAGTGCCGGAAGGTGATTCCCTCAGTTTGGAACTGATTCCCTCACAATAGAACTGATGAAAAGCTGCCTCCTCAAAGTATACATGGTTACCATTTTAAAGTGCCTTTGAGTCATTTCTGACTCATAGGAACCCTGTATAATGTTTCTAAGGAGCGGCTGGTGGATTTAAATTGCCGACCTTGTAGTTAGCAGACCAGTGCTTATCTCAAAGCGCCATACCAGGCCTCCCAGCAACGTACAGTCAACCTTAATGACATGGATGGAGCAAAGCTTTCAGGACCTTCATTTGTTGATGTGGCATGATTCAAATTGAGAAGAAACAGCTGCAAACATCCACTAATAAGCAGAACATAGAATGTAGAAAGCATGGATCAAGGAAACTTGGCAGCCATAAAAAATGAAATGGAACACATAAAGATCAATATCTGAGACATTAGTGAGCTGAAGTGGATTGGCATTGACCATGTGGAATTGGAGATGAGCTACTATCCTGGTAAAGACAAATTGAAGAGGAACAGTATCACAATCATTGTCAATAAGAACTATCCTAAATTACAATGCTGAAATCCATACTCCTACAAGGAAGACCAGTTATGTAACTATTATTGAAATTTATGCACCAGTCACTAAATGCAAAAGGCAAAGAAACAGAAGATGTTTACCAACTTCTTCAGTCTGAAATTGAGAAAACGTCCAATCAAGATGCATTGATTCATTTCTAGTGATTAGAATGTGAAAGTTAGGTTATATTGTATTTTCAATCACCTTTTATGCATATGGAAGCTGGGTAATAAATAAGGACGGAAGATCCGAAAAAAATCGATACATTTGCATTATGATTTTGGCAAAGAATGTTGAAAGTATCATGGAGCCAAAAGAACGAATAAATCTGTCTTGAGAGAAGTACAGCCAGAATGCTCCTTACAAGAGAGGATAGTAGATTCTGTCTCAGTTTTTAGACCTATTATCAGGGGGTACAAGTCCCTGGAGAAGGATAACATGCTTGGTAAAGTTGAGGGTCAGAGCCCTGGTCTACTTGTGAACGGAAGTGGGGGAAATGCAGCAATGAAGACTTAGTCTGAGTTTTGTCATTTTCCATGGACACCTGTTCACCTTGAGATGAGAGAGAGAAGATGAAGGGCTGGCTGGTCTGAAGTTTAGGGAGATGTGTTAATTCCCAAGCCCATGGACATAGAATTGAGAGTGAAGAGGCCAGCTGGTTTGACGTGGGGGGAGGTATGGAGGAACTCCAAGATAAAGAAGTTTGATATAGGGAGCTAGTGTCAATTGCTACAATTTGATGAACTGACCTTTGCTTATGGATGCAGTTGCTCAAAATTCCAACCGAAATGGAAGGATTCTTCATATCAAGGATCAAGTCTGTCTCCTCAGTGCACTGGGTTGAAAGGGACTGGCAACTTAGACACTGGCTATCAAAATTGGGCACAAAAAGGCATGAAGTGGCTGGCTTACAAGCTTTCATGAGTGTGCTTAGTTTCAGAATGAGGGGGTAAGGTAGAATCCCCACTGAATTACTTTCCTGTTTTCCAGATGGATCTGGCACAAGGGGATGGGCAATGACGGTGATAGGCATTTATGATTCAATTGTGAGTAATTGTTAGCAGGCTGAATCAGAATTGTCACAACTGTAATTGTAGAAGATGTGTAACTAAAAGCAGGGAGAGGTTAATCTCTCATTTCAGGGACAGAGGACCCCAGGAAGAAGGAAGAGCATGAGATCCTATCCAGAGAAGCAGGGACAGCAGAGAAAAAAGCGGTGGCAGAGGCAATGGCATGGAGAGAGAGAACAGCTGAGGACTCTGTTCCCATGGACTGAGAAAAGCTGAGATGGGCTTGCAAAATGTGCCCTTTTGGACATTTCAATGAATATGTATTTCCTGTTTTGTATGTGTACATCAAATAGTTTTCCTTTGTTCATTTGTAGAAAATACAATGTAAAAGGGAAGCCACAGGGTGGAAAGTAGGATAAGTGCTGGTGCAGGGAAGGGAGATGAAACTCCAGCAGCAGTAGCAGTGGCCAGGATGACACACTGGAAGCAGGTTCCCATAAGGCTTTAATATCGTGTCCAAATAACATAATGTCCTATTTCAAAGAATGTTTTGTGGATGTTAAGTGACATAAACCTGTATACGATTCTGACAAAATTCTGCTTTGAAATTTCTTCTCTCAAAGCTGAGAAAGTAATGTTCATGAATTGTTAAAGTACAGAATTTGTAGATTTAGTGTATATTCTGCTGTGTCTATTTTCAAGAACAACAAAAAATAAATGATAAAAAACAAATACCAAAACCAAATACAAACTAAAAGACCTAGAAACTTATTTATTCTGCTTGGATGAGGAGAGTAATTCAACTCAAATTTTCTGGGGAATCCTCTTCCCAGGGACACGCTAAATCCCTGACTATAATATTTGTTGTTGTTGTTGTTGTTGTTAAGTGCCTTTGAGTCACTTCTGACTCACAGCGACCCTGTATAGGGTGTCCAAGGAGCAGCTGGTGAGTTTGAACCACCGAACTGTGGTTCACACCGATCTTAGGGTAGAGTATTTATCCTATAGTACTGCACTAGAAAACGGTGCAATTTCCATCGTTCCATTATCCAGAAGCTTGTCATGTGT